GTGCTCAATTAGGAGGAGGAGGAGGAGGAACTAAAGTGCATAGTTGATTGTGGGGTATTGGGTCTGGTTCGTTTTGGTCCGATATCTGTTTTTTTTTTCTTCCCTTTTTTTAACTTTAGTTTTTGTATTTTTAATTTGGGTTTTTTTTTTCTTTTCAATTTTTGAATTTGTGTTTTTGCAATTATTTTTATAGGTGGGAAGGACGGTTTGAATTGTTTATGAAGTTGGGGGAGTGAGGTGGGGGTCTGAATTCCATGAGCTGATTGGAATTGACCATTCGATGGACTTTGGGTTTATTTAATTCTTTCTTTTTTTCATAATTCTATTATTCACAATCCTCTCTCTCTTTACACATGGCTTTTCTTGTTTTCACTTATATTTTGCCCTTTTTAATTTTAGCGGATCCAGCTCTACATTGTACATGATAAAGATTTTCATGAAACGAGGATAACATTATTGCTATTCTCGGCTAATAACGCTATGATGCGTCTGATAACTCTTTCATATAATATATAATGTTATTAGTCAAGGGTAGTAACATAATGTTATTTCTGTTGCAACCAAGTTTTTCTCTTACGCACATATGCACAGCCAACTAGGTTTTTGAAAATTTCCTCTGAAAAAAAAACATATTTAAAACTCCAAACAAATACTGAACTGGCTGGACCCAATATGTCGAGCAGCAGCACTCAAAATGAAACAAAAGAAAGACGAAGTGAAGAAGAGAGTGGCCGATGATTGAACACCGTGCTAGCTGAGGGTCCCACCAAGGAGTAATTAATCAAAGGGAGTTCAAAATGATTGAATATCTGCACCGTCGAGTCCGGGTTCGGCGTTGTAGAAGAAGGTAGTTGTGGGGGATCATTTTGGTGGGTTTTGAGGAGGACTTGCCACGTGGCGTAATGTGTCTCCGTTTACCGGCCCCAGCGAAGGAATAGGGTGGGGGTGGGGAACAGCCTGGCCGGCTTTTTTACGCACTCGATCCCTCTCTCTTTCTTTTCCTTTTTCTTTTTTTATTGTCTGGGTCTCTGACGAGCAGAGAAGAGAGTGTTGACCCCGGCGGTACAGATCTCAGCCGTTGATTCACGATATTAAAGGGCCCCGCCTCTCTCTCTCATCCATCCATCCATCCATCCAGTATCATCAGGCAGGGCACAGGGACATTGGGGGACCCCCCCTTTTTCTTTAATAACTTTTCGTCTTTTTTCATCTTCCTCCAGAAGCAAGAAGCAACCCCTTCACGCGCCCCCTCTAAATTTGTGTTTCCGCTACTCGCTAGTGCGGTATAGTTTTTTTTTTCTTTTTTTGGTTGACGAAATAGTAATAGTATAGAGTAATCTATTTGATCCATTTGTCACAACACAAATTTTCTCTTAGTCTAGTTGTATTTTTCCTTCTTGATAATGAAAGAGATCATTCTCGTCCTCAATTAAAATTAAACTAAAAAATTAAGCAAATAAAACGGACATTTAAGAATTTCAGACCACTTCAGCCATTAAAAATTAAATCAAAAAAGTTGTATTATTTCAAATAATATAAATTCAAACTTGTTAATACCAAACGGAAATTGTCAAACTTCTAACCTCTTTTTTTTTTCTTTCTCTGGTGGTTGGACAAGCACATTGAACAAAGCTTGACTATTTGGACCCTCTTGCTTTGAATGATCCTTAATATTAGAAATTCAAATCCCTACCTAAACATTTTAAATTTATTTAAAAAAAGTCAAAATTCCATTTATTTTGAGGAGAACCTTTTTCTTCATTTTAAGGAGTCAAACTTAGTTATATTACTCAAACAAGCTTATCCTATTTTATTTTGAAAAATAATAGAGCTTATATTTTGTAACGAAGGAGGAAAGCAGTGTCTTTTTAGAACCAAGATAGAACCACCCCAACCTTGAGCACGAAATTGCCCTCCAAAAACTTGAATAATATCTAAGGTCTAGGCACGTGACTCCGCGAGGCACACTTTCATAGTTTGCTGCACCGAAAGCGGACGTTACAGGAGCAGCTTGCGTGCGGTCGTCGGACACAGATTTGACTTTTCTTTTTCATTTTTCACAATGGCAGTATTGGCAGTGGCCAATTCATTATTAGCAACAAAGATTCCCCCCCTCTTACAGTTTTGTCTCTGGTTTAATCTTCAATTAAGTACCACTAATTACATTAGCAAAAAGGTATTCATGCAACTGATCAGCAGTTGGAAGTATCAAACGCTAATTACTTCGCTAGCTAGTTGATGATTTCATAAGACACATGTAAAACACATATATGAAATGTGGACCATCTGTACATGTGCAGAGGTTTTTGGAGTTCCTTTGGGCCATGACATTGACTTGCTACCCTTTATTTTATTATTTTTATTTAATTTAGGCGTGACTTTTTCGACAGAGATGCTTCAAAGATTATATTCCTTGTGTTAGTGTCGTGAGGATAAAGTTAAATAACAAGGTTTAGACATGACTCTCTGCTTAATATATTGGAATTGTTGTGATTTTTGGCAAATTAGAAACATAGCATTATTGGGTTGAGGAATTCTAGCAATATTCTCTCTAACTTTCTTCATTTTTTGCTTGACATGTGTAATTCTCTTTACACTTAAAACAATGTCATTAATATATTATACAAGCTAACTTTTGTTTTCCAAGTTTACCCTTATTAAATGTATTCAATTTATCTAAAAAAATTTCACAAGTTTCTTACCATCTTATTAATTTGTTTTTTTCTAATTTCAATTATTATTTTTTAAAGAAAATATATGCTTTTAAGAGGAAATGTCCCTTCTTTTTTTTTCTTTTTTTTAATATATAATTTATAACACAAACGGTTTAGATAGAAAGAAAAAAAAGTCATTTGTGTTTAAAAAAAATGAACATTTCCTCTTTTTTGAAAAAAGCAAACATTTTCTTTAAAACAAATAATTTACATTTTTTAAAAAAATATAAAGATTGTAAGAAAGTTGTGAATTTTTGTGTGGATGAATTGAATATATTTAATAAGGGTAAACTTGGAAAGCAAAAGTTAACTTGTATAATATATTAATGACATTATTTTAAGTGTAAGGAGAATGACACATGTCAAGCAAAAAATGCAGAAGGTCCGAAGGAGAAAGTTAGAGAAAAAGTTGCTAGCATTCCCCGAAGCTTGGGCTACTCTCTCTAACAGATATGGCCCAATTTTCTGTCATTTGTCATGCGCTTTCAGAAGACTTGGGATGTAAGGGAGGGAGGTGTGAGTGTGAGTGTGAGTGTGACACCACATAAAATGAGTCTTGAAAATGATCATATATAAGTGACTGTGACACTGAAAAAGCTTGGCCATGTACTGCTTGGATGTTCCAAGGATTCTGCAACAACACTACTTAGTTAGAACTTAGAAGTGGTTGAATTTCACATCATATTTATCGAGTAGCTAATACGGTCGCTTTAACTAATTTAGGATATAAATTTTCTCAACCTTGTGTATGGTTTTCTAATCTTGGGAATTTGGATAAATTATTATGTGGTCCATGCAAGATGAAAGGTGTTCGCGGTAAAGTAAAGAGAATACTGTAATGCATGGTTCACCTAATTACAGAAAATCTATATTTAAACAAACCTTACTTACCTTGTTGATTTCCCAGTTAAGTTATAGTTCACCTAAAGTTCAGCGTTTAGAATTTGAGGTCCATAAATCACAAACTTATATATTTATCTGATTGTAGATTGGTATTTGAGTTGAGTAATTATTAATTTCCATATTTAGGTTTTGGTGAGTATAGAAAGCTACCCTAACCCTCTAGATTATGTCATGATGCGTACTTAGAGTAGACAGGAAAATACCAATTGGTGACATGTATGTTTGTTTATTCCTCAAGCAAACCAAAGACAAAAGAGAAGTGGGGGGATAATATTCATAATGTAAGAGTTTGCAGTTTTCGTGCCTTCTAAGTTGAAGGATGAAGATTGAAGATTGAAGATTGAAGTTTGTCAACAACAGGTATGGATATGGATACGGACATGGATGTGGTTGTAACTTGTAAAAGCTTTGTGATTTAATTAGGGTTGTGAAGTCGTCCAAGCCAAAGGAAAAGAGTACCATTTACAAATAAAAATAAGGTATTTAGGTCATCTGGCAAGAAATGGGCACCTCCACTCCACTTTTATTTGAGTTCGTTTCAAGTCATATCCAAATCAACTAACCAAAATTTAATAGCAATTTGAGTTGGTGTCAAATAATTAGAGAATTGAAAAGACAAGACATTGCAGCTAAAATATTAATTAAATAGGTACCGTATTGTCGTTCTTTTAAAGGGCCCTATAATCTATCCATCATATATCATACTCATTTATAAGATGTAAATTGTGAAGCAACTAATTTGGTATGTTTGAAAACACAACATAATCTCCATCCACCCGCGCATGCTCCCACATGACACCAAATTAGTTTGTTTGTGGTGGTGGTGACCCAAGGAAAGCTTTTCTCACATGGCTTCCCCACCTTCATCAGAGAGATTCAGAGAGATCAGTAAAACCCCATAAAAGGAAATCATATTTGGTGGTCACAGTCAGGAACTTTAAGTAACATGGTTGGTTTGTTGTAGATCCTTGTTAGGCAACTGCTCATTATTTAAACCCAAGTATAACATAGAGTCGCGGTTGTAACGTTACATGTACCACACTTTATGAAAGATCTGACCAAAGAAATAACTTAATGAAAGAAGTTTTGGATACAGAGAAACTAAACAGAAAATGTAATTTTAAACTATCGTGTCGAACTGAGAAAAGAAAAAGAAAAAGCTACTGAAAAACAATTTTATGTTCATCAACTAATTACAGATCCCACCCAGGGAAAGTTGACATGAAGAATGTTTACAAATCTTCAACAGTTTTCAATTGATTTTGCAACTTCTGCTCAGAGTCTTTTCTTCCCAGTCAAACCTTAGTCTTCATGAATTTATTATTTGGCACTG